AGTGCATTGATTGGTTTTGGATAGATATATTCAAACCCAGTTTGATCATACCTTGTTTGTGAAAAGAAGGGGATCACTAGTGCCAATGCTGATAGTGTATGTGGATGACATTGTTGTCATAGGGAATGACCTGAGTGAGATTGATGCCTTGAGAGGAACCTACAGTCCTACATAGAGAGTTCGAGATTAAGGAACTTGGGAAGCTAAAGTATTTTCTAGGCATTAAAGTGGCAAGGTCCAAACATGGGATCTTCATTTCCCAAAGGAAGTATGTGTTGGACCTACTACAAGAGACAAGAAAATATGGGGCTAAACCAGCTAATACACTCATTGACTAAAATCACAGAAGTAATGCATCAGATGGTGATAATAAAGGATGTCGAGAGGTATCAGAGATTAGTGGGCCAGCTATTATACTCGTGTATGACACGAGCAGATATCTCCTACGTAGTGTGGTGAGTTGATCGATACATACATGCCCCACGAGTTCAGCACTAGGAAGCCATAAATAGGATACTTGCCTATTTGAAAGGACACCTACGCAGAAGGATATTGTTTGTTGACCATGGACATTTGAAGCTAGAAGCTTACACAAATGTTGATTAGGCAAGGTACCTAGATGACAAGAGACCAACATTAGGAGTCTACACTCTTGTTGGGGGTAATCTGATTTCATAAAAGAGTAAAAAGCAACTAGTTGTATCCAAGTCAAGTGCAAAAACTTAATATAGAGCTATGACACATGGTGTTTCAGAGCTTCTCTAGGTTCGATCCCTACTAGGAGAGTTTGGAGTTGATGCAGAGGAACCTATGATGTTGTACTATGATAATCAATCCAGGGTTCAAAATTTTACAACATATTGGGCTGTATCAACTGATATGTATCGTTCTGACAAAAGCCCAATACATGGAACATGTAAAAATCATCTATTGTGTTTCTTTTTGTATGTATTGGCTGATACAAGCCCATATCGGGCAGTTTCAGATCCGTATCGATCAATACGGGCCCAAAACAGTTCAATACAGCCTGGTACACTTAATTCATTTCGCATGTCCCTTCTTTCTCATTAATTATTTTAATCTATATTTAATTCCAAATTCTCTCTCACTAATTTCGTTAATTACTCCTATATTTAAGTCTAATTTTTCTCTCTTATTAATTAGTTAATTACTCAAATTTGAATTCTAGCACCTAATTCGAATCCTCTCTCATTAATTAATGATCCTTTCTCTCATTAACTTATTTTGTTACTCATTAATTCCATTAGCCATCGACTTTAGTTCTTATAATTGTAAGTATAAAAATTACAAACTTCAATGATAACAAGATTCAAACCTTGGTGGTTAGGTTTTAATGACCACAAGTTCACCACTAAGCCACACTCATTTGTTTGTTATGGTCATATGCATTTTTATTTTTAAGTAAATTTTCTCTTAGTGGATGTTTGTCAATAAATGCTATAAGTAATTATTAAAACCTATTTATTAATAAATATTAAGAGAAAGTATATAGATTATTTAAAAATTAGTGTACAAACATATTTTAATTATTCCATCATTTTTCAATGGTTACTAATTGTGTCACAATATCTCACACTTTATAAAAACCATTAAATTATGGTTTTTTACATTTAAATAACTTATTTACAGCCATATAAAACTTGTAATTATTGTTATTAATATATATTTTAGGATTTATTTGAGCTTCCTAGCATATCTATGTGTATCTTGATTTTTCGTCAGTATCCATGCATATCTAAAGTGTATCCCGATATGTCTCTTAAAACTGTCTTCCTGATACACCTTACGTTTCCAATACTTTGAACCTTGAATCAAGCAACAATTAGCATTTCCCATAATCCAGTTCAACATGATAGCACAAAGCAAATAGAAGTGGGCATGCATTTCATAATAGAAAGGGTGACAACTGGAGAAGTATGTCTACCATATGTTTCATCTGACTTACAACTTGCTAATGTACTCACCAAGGGAGTTGCAAGAAATAAGCTTCAACATGATTTACGCAAGTGGGAATGTGTGACATCTACTCCCAACTTGAAGAGGAGTGTTGAGATATTCAACAATTTTTTGTTTCTTTTTATTTAGCATTACTAGTTAGCGTTATTAGGCCCATTAGTTTACATTTACTTTTAAAGACTGTTTTTATGTTATTAGCAGTAGCCACCCTGGCATAGTCATTGTAATCTCTTTTATTTTGTGAGTATATAAGATAATCAGTGGGACAGCCAGATCATTATTGGCTTCTCCAATCTCTTTTTCTCTTTCTGCTCTCCAAGAAACTCCTATCATTCTTTCTTCCTATAACTGTAATCAAATCAGGTTGCAGATCTGAGTTTTCTACTCTATTGAAGGTCACCAAACAATAGATAATGAGAGCTAGGAGGGTTTTAACAGTTTCAGAGGTTAATAGACATCCTAACATATTTGTGAAATATCCTAACATATCGTGAGTACTGATATTTTAAACCTTGCTCTTAAGCCATACTATTTTCTAGAAACTATTTTCTCCTACCACTAATTCCAACCCTCTATTGGATCAATTGGGACTTCTCTAAAAGAGTACACTCCATAGATTGTCTTGAAGCATAGTTGTCATGGCGACGCGCTGACGCCTAGGCAATAAGGCGCCCTTGGAGGCTTGCCTCACCTAATCGCCAAGCAGTTTTCCATAGCGTGTTATAAAAAACTTTTATATTCTTAATTTTTTAGGTTATAATTATAAAATAGACATTTTTAAACTAAAATATTCATTTTGTGTGTTTATATACTAATTTCTTTTTAT